CATCACATATCTGCTTCTTTGGACTAAAGGTATTGGAGAAAGTGCTGAGAAAATCTTAAAATAAGAAACTTATAATTATAATATTGTAATAAGATTTGAGTCTGGGATTATAGTTATCAGATACTTTGTATTTATCATATAATGAAGAATATTCCTCAAACCTCTCATTGTGGAATAAGAATATTAAACAATAACTAAAAGGAATTCACAGCCTCTAAAATGAAAAATTAAGTTAAAGCAGCCCTTCTGAATTGCCATACATTTAATGTCTGACATTAAAGAGAGATAATGCTAAAAGCCTTTAGTCTTTCATAAACGTGAGCAATAGGAAAACCAGATTGGGGGAATCCTAAATTGTCAGATGTCTTATCATGAAACCTTTCCATCTACCTTACCTCATCCAGACATCTTTCATACTGTTCCCTCTGATTTTCATTTTCCAAAGCTAGTGCTGAATTCTCTGCCTGCAGTAAGATACAAAAATAATAAAAATGAATCAATGAAATGCTGTGTTATATGACAACTTATTCAATACATTTACCAAATGTAACTCCTCAGGATCCAAAATAATCTTTTAAAAATACACACAAGACATTTGATATAAATACTATTAAAAATAACTCTGGAATGACTTCAATCTTATCAAATTGTTCACAAAAATACATTACTTTATAATTTAGAAAAAGACACAAGTTGGTATTCTGAATGGGTATGAAATCAATTCATGAATCATGGTGAGAGTTGTTGTTTTTCATAAAGTATCACAATTTATATTTTATTTCACTAACACATGAAAATGAGAAATGGCCTAGCCCACTTCATTAAGGCCTGCCAGAGTTCACTACATGAAGCTTAAATCACAGGAAAGAATGTCAAGTAACTAAATGCACCAAAACATATTTTTAAATTCAACAGACAATGTTAATATGAACTTGAGAAATAAAGGACACTTTTTGTACCCAAAAATATTTCAAAGGAAAAATGGGGTTTAATCTATGCTTGAATATCTTAATTCCCTCTACCCTATTTTAATGTCTTCTTTCATTTCCCTCAAAAGCTCACACAGGGATGAGAATTGTTATTGACTAATGTAATTTTTTTTAAAAAAAGCAACAACAAACATGTATTAGAGAATGATGGTAGAAAAAGATATTAGAAGACATGGTTCAGGATTAAAGAAATGAGAGGCCAAAGGTTTATAGACTATGCAGGAGTCTCATACCCCTTTTTCATAAATGCTTTCTTCATGAAGAGAGTCAGAAGGAACTACTCATTGAGCACTGAATAACATCACCAGAAATGAAATTTATAATATTCTAATAGATAAGGAATGACTAGATACTAATGTAGAAATTATATTCTAATAATAGTCTATGTACAGTAAGACTATTGATTTGTTAAAACAAAAATAAAAATCAATCCCAAATTAGAAGGAATACATTTGAGACAAGTCCAAGCTGACCCATTATATAAACTGTTGTTTAAAAATAGGAAATAAATAAATGTATAGATATTGATACAGACTGCAAAATTGCTTAGGCAAGTATGACTTGTGTATATTAATTATTGTAATGAGAAGACAATTGTCTCAATCAACAAATACCTAATCTCCTTACCAATTTGGACAGAGCTACTAGTCAAAGGCAAAATAGATTAGAATGTAAAGTCATTTGTAAAATCTTATGGAGGTGATTGGTGGATAATTATAAGCAGTATCATGTTATAGAAAAATCAGAAGCAGTAGAGGGAAAAGAAACTTATAAAAATACTGTGAAGAGATTCAATTAAGTCACATATCAATACCATTTAAGGATACATTAGAAAAGAGACAAATCAAATTAAAATGGGACAGCTCTGTCAAGATTTCAATAATAAACTTTTTACTTCATCAATGACAGCAAGGCTGCATTTGTTGTTTACTATCAAGTATCTGAATCATTGGAGCAAAATGCCATCCTAAAATGCTCTCATTAATTAAGATGTCTGCAAATTTATATGTCAAAATCATAGAGAATTTGTTGACAGACTTAAAAACAGAGATAACTTTCCTCAGTGGCCTTCTGATTATTAATATTAAGCAAGGCACAAAACAGGGAGACACATGATCACCCAAGGAATTGTCATAGTCATGGACAATATCCATGGCAGAGAATAAATTCAAGTAGGATTAACTATATACAGCAAGATGTTCCAGATACTCCTCCTCATAAGTAATGTGCTAACTGCATCAAATTTTTTAAACACTGTAGATGTGATCTATAATCACTCAAAAGATTTTGGCATAAGTATACACACAGGAAAAAAAAGTGTATGAAGAAATTTTATTGTCCTGATCCTGATACATATAGTGGAAAAGCAAATGGCTTTCAGACATGACTGAAAAACAACATGTTACATATAAGCACTGTGGATGGACCATATACTGAATCCAGAATTGAATATAAGGATAAAAGAAGGATGAATTGCATTTAGGAAATTGTGTAATGCCTTTAAAGAAGTCAAAGTTCTCCCTAAACTAAAGGCTCTATTCTCTTAAACATCAATATTTTTCTGATAATTTTGGGTTAGGAGTCATGTAGTCCCATACTATCATTTAAAGTTGTGGGTCATCCAAAGGGCAAAGGAGATGTTCACAGTAGGAGTAAGTAGTCTGAAACATATTGCCAAGGAGACACTTCAGGAGAAGCAGTTTAAAAAGATATCAAAAGGAAAGATTGTGAAAGAATGTGGTTCTATCATGTAGGTGCAATTGAGGGATTGTGTGTTACCCACTGGTATCCATATAGTGTCAATGGACCTGGCTAAAAGGACCCATCCATCAGAAGGCATTCCTATGGAAGATTTATAGGAGCATGTGCACATGAGTCATAGAATGTTTGGAAGCATGAATGGCTTATATTCAGCATTACTTGTGGACATACCCACAGAGAATCATAGATTTGGTACTTGAAGGGAACCCACAGTCCATGTATTCCAAATAACACATAATACAAATGAGAAAAGAGAGTTAAATGGTTTGCCCAAGGTCACAGAGGTATTAAGCATCAAAGGTGATATTTGAACCCAGGTCCTCTGATTACAGAATCAGTCATCTTTCCACTGTACCATATTGCCTCCCTATGAAATCACAGAAACATGAATACACAATGAATGGTAAGAATACTACAGTATGAACCTAGGACTCAAATTTCAAGAAGTCAGTGTTTTTTGTTATTTGTTTTTCCTTTGAGAAATTTTGTGCTTGTGGTGTTGGCTTGTTTTAGTAAATATGAAGTACAAATCACAATGGTGAGAGATAAAGAAAATATAATGGTAAAGTAAGTCCAAATTGGTTTCTTTTTAAATGCCTGGAGAAAAAAAAATGTGTAAGGAAATTAAAGTTGGACACAGGAATTTATATGGGATGCCTGAATCTGGCTTCTCTTGACAATATCGCATAGCAAAAACACTGCAATCGATCTGTTCAGATAATTACCACCATTACACAGTTTACGTAACTCGCCTCACTTTTACTGCTCTGTCAATCCATAAAATCCTGGGAAATAAAGTACCTATAGTGTACTGGTAAAGATACAATGATCACATTTGTAGTTAACATATTCTATTCCAAAGACCAATTTAATTGATATAATCCACCATGTCCAAAGGGACAATGAAGATATTAATAATTATCTAAGTTACATTAATGTAATCTTCAACCCATAAGTTTATCTTCTCCATTTGCATTTATTAAGAATTCAGGATTAACCTGCAACTAAGATGGGGCAATAGAGGGAAAAAAGGAGAAGTCCTTTAATTAAATAGGATTTTTAAAATCCACATGGTACTCTAACAATAGCTAAGAATATCAGGCCAAAAAGAAGAAAGAAAACATGAGAATGTGGGTATCACAGGTAAGTACTATAAGCTAGCCTTAGAACATTCCACTTCTAAATGAGTATTTTATGAAATCAATAAATCCTCAAAGATATAATTATAGTTTCTAAGTTAAGATACTGGTAATGCTATATACTCAATTTTGTTATTTAAGATATCTAAGTATCTTTTCATAAATAATTGTATGATAACCTATCAAACTATGGGCTCTCCAGTACTAATATTGTACTGGGTGATTGATCTAGAAAAACCTCACTTTTTTTTTTCCTGCTAACTGTTCTGAAATCCTTAAATGAACTAACATAATCAGAAAACCATATCATATGAGCCTATACTAATTTGAACTAACCAAAATGAAGGGAAATATAAAATGTCACTTTTTTAAATGTTAAAATAAAACAAGTTTTATGAGAGACTCTATTGAATGATGATCTTCTGAAATAAATACTTCATTATGGCATGAAAGGGATCTTGGGTTCTTGAACACTTTATCAGCAGTGTTTAAGACAGCCCAGGACCCTGAACTTAAGAGCCTTGGGAATAGTAATGCTTCCATCAGAATATTCACAGTCATTCTATTGGGAAGCAATCTTTTATGGAACCTGGCAACTGTTCCTGAAGGCGCTATATCTAGTGATACATCTAGTAAAGACCCAGAAAAGAAAGTTTGTTGTTAAAGTCTTTGAGACTATCAAACTGACATGGTTTTATCAGTGGAAATTACATTAAAAAGGATCATTAGCATGTGCTTTGTTGTTGACCCTAAGAACCATGCAATCTTTCCATCTGACTTGTGCCTGAAACCTTTCATATATGCTTTCTCCCCTATTAGAATGTGAGTTCATTGAGCATAGAGATTGTCTTATTTTTCTATTTGTGTCCCCAGTGCTTAGCACAGTGCTTTGCATGTACTAAATATTTAATGAATGCTTTTTTCCCATTTATTCATTTGAGCTATGGTATATCTAGATAGAAAGATTTTGAGTATAGGCCCCAGGATGGACAACATTATTATCCAAGAATCAGCCTAGATAAGTATGGATATTGGGTAATGAATTATTTTGGTTACAACTCAGGGATACTGACCACTAAGGAATGGGGGAGTTGTGGTCGAAGTTGATAAAGCAAATATCCATAATAATGAAATCACAGACCCTTGAAAAATATAAATCAAATTTATGGTAGATAAAGTATTTATCATTTGCATCAAAAGCTCTAGTCTAAAGTAGTGCCAGCCTTGGTTTATATGGAAATCATATTATTTATAAACAGTTGCTTTTAAAGTGCTTGAAAATTCTTCTCTTGAGAATCAAGATATTACCTTTACAATATTGGTTATACATTTAATTTGTTTGGTAAAACCTTTCTCATCATTATTATTCATTCTCTGATTTAATAAATATTCACTGAGCCCCTGCTGTTGAGTTAAGCCCCATGTTAAGGTAAGCTGTTTTACAAGTAAAGCTTTTCTGCTCAAAATCCTTCAATAGTTTCCCATTTCCTCTGATATCCTTGGCTTTTTAAATCCACCATAACCTAGTTCATTAATATGTCTGCCCATCTTTATCTTTAATATACTCCCCATATT